AACACAGTGTAACATCACACAAGTCTCGTTCAAAACAGAATAAATAAGTTCCAACTTTAATAAAACAAATACTGGCAGATGGATGATGCATAACCTTAAATTACTTACAAATTAATTCTAAAAGGTAAACTCAGTCTTCTTCGTCCTTTTCATGCCTCTCCTGTTGCTGCCTGAAACCGCCATGTCTTCATCCCCAGAGCCATAGTAAATCACTTGACCGTTAAATGGTTGCCACGTTCTGGTTCGGTCGCTCATTCCGCCACTATTTTGCTAGTAGTGTTTAAACTCCCCGTGTCTTCAAGCTCCCAGTCCAAGTAAAGTCAGCTAATAGGACAACTAACTAGCCAGTGGCAGCAGCTAGTACAATTAGCACATCGCAGTGCACCGGCGGGTGACTCCTGTGTTAGAAGAGATAAGGTCCCTGTTGCAACAATTCCCTGATACTTTCATCCCGGTGACAAGGTGCAGCTCACGAACAGAGATTAGTGTTTTTTTTTTTTCTGAGACTATCCGACTAATGAAAAGTGCATCGACTAAGACTCTTCACATCGACTAACAATTAAGTCGACTATTAGCGGGCAGCCCTAGTAAATTTAATATGTTTTTACTCTGTTGTTAAAACGGCATTACATTTGGTGAAGAGCGCCTTTTGACTTTTGTAGAACAAGAAACTCAAAGTTAGGACTTAGGACTTGTCAGTCTTGACTTGGGACTTGATTTGTTACTTGTTAGTCTTAACTCAGGACTAGACTTGGGAGTTGTCAGTCTTGACTTGGGACCTGATTTGTTACTTGTTAGTCTTGACTCAAGACTTGACTTGGGACTTGAGACTTGCATGACAAAGACTTGGTCCCAACTCTGTCAGAAAATCTTGACTTGCGAAGAAAACAGTCCTCTAGTTAGTGTCTGTGTGGTCGTTGGAACTGAAGTATTTTAACAAACTACTTTTTATGATGTATTACTGAATTTTTATCTTGTTTTCACAACTAGCATAAAGAGAACTATATCTAAATTTTATTCTACAACCACACGTTGTAAATGACAATAAAATTATCTTGAATCGAATTATAGTACAGACATCATCAGGTACCAAGAATTCACACCGTATGGAGATTTTTTAAAGTGGTGTCATCTATCAAGAATTGGACTTCTGAGTTTTGTAAAGGATGGTAACAGTCGACTGCACACAAAAAAACAGAAATTGAAGTTTGAGTTTTAAACCCGGATGTGAAAAACTGTCAACTTTTAGCAAGAAGTAGGAAACAAACCCAGACTAAAGGTTTGTTTCCTCTTTTGTGTAAGAAAGAGGAAACAAACAGCAAATAATGTACACGTTATTTGTAGGAGAACACTTGCAAGTTATCATGATTAGGATTATCTAGGAGTAGATACACACGAGAGTAGAACATTTCTTTTTTTCTAGTTCAGAGACCATAAAAATAGAAACGAATAGTCCCATTAAAGTAATTGTGTGTGTGATTTTGCTTGCATGTGCTCCCTTTTAGATATTCATGTCAATTGTACAGTCATTACGTGACTCCATAAATTATGCTCCCCTGTCTTCAGGTCGGGTAGGGACCCCACACTTCATGGCCCCGGAGGTGGTGAAGAGAGAGCCGTACGGTAAACCAGTGGACGTGTGGGGCTGTGGAGTCATCCTCTTTATCCTCCTCTCAGGGTGTCTGCCTTTCTACGGCACCAAGGAGCGTCTGTTCGAAGCCATCTGCAAGGGCAAATACAAGGTCAGGAAAACTTCCACAGCAGTTGAGTGCAAAAACACTTCCAAATATGTCCCCACCCTAGAAGGAACAACCCACACTTTCATTGGATTTCCATGTTATTTCTATAATACTTTACAGCTCTTTTAATTTTAACAAGTTTTCCATTAAGCTGAACAGTAGAAAAACTAATTTTTTGATTCACAGCTAAATTCAAATAATACGTATTTGGAAGAAGTCTTAAACAAAAGCTCCTTAAGTACTAGTGTGTAGGATTTAGTTGCATGTAGCTGTGACGTTGAAGATTGGAGCCATTTAGCTTAGCCTTCTGAGCGAGTAGGAGGGACTACAGTGGCTGTGAAAGGCCTTATCTAGAGCCAGTGTTTTGTTTGTCCATTCTGGGCTACTGTAGAAACATGGCGGCTTCAGTAGAAGAGAACCCGCTCTCTCTATAGATAAAAACGTCTCATTCTAAGGTAACAAAAACACAACGATTTTTAATTTTTGGTGATTCCACACTAATGAAAACATACCTAATATATTCCATTTCTGACAATAGATCCTCCTAAATGTTACACCTTTATAGCAGCTAACATTGTCTATAGATACCTTACTTTAAAAGCTGCAGTGGGTAACTTTTATTTAAAAAAATAACGTATTTCCTGAAAATTTCACTATATCCGGAAAGTAGAACATGAGAAAGACAATTTGTGAAAAAATCAGGTTCCTCTGGCTCCTCCCAGTGCTCCTAATGGCATTTGTAAAAATCCACCATGCATGAAAGAAAACAACCAATTTTAATTAATTGAATTAATATTAGTTTAAAGTATGCACAAATAAATAAACAATGTGTGTTTATATCTGTGTGTGCAGATGAATCCCCGACAGTGGGGCCACATCTCAGAGAGCGCTAAGGATCTGGTGAGGCGCATGCTGATGCTGGACCCTGCTGAGAGAATCACCGTCTACGAGGCCCTTAACCACCCCTGGCTCAAGGTAATGCAGAGCATTCAGGAGCACTATTAGTTCATGTTTGTGTTAAATTTTTTTCAGTTCAATTCAATTTTATTTGTATAGCGCCAATTCATAACAGAAGTTGTTCATTCTTTAGTGGACTGTTTCCTGCTCCATCTTTACCCTCTGGTTACTACATACCCACCAACCGCCGTTTGTGTTATTTTATATAATCTGTTTTAAAAATCTGTTTTTAACTGAAAAAAAAGTTAATGTTTTGTAATTTAATATGTTTACCATGTACCATCTCATGACTCCACAACATGGCAAGAATACACTCAAAAATCCAAAAAATGTATTTTCTGCTGTGGAAAAAGGTAAGCGTGGGTTGTCTCTGAGACGTGCATTCAAAGTTTTGAGTTTTGTGAAAGTTTGAGCATGTTTTTGAGACAAGAGAAGAATAATAAAGCCACACAGCCTAAAGCCATCACGTAATGACAGTGAGCACTGGCACAGTGGTGTTATTGCTTGTCATGTGTTGTCAGCAGAAGCTTTAATTGTATCTTCTTCTGTGGACGGTGATGGAGGGCTACTTAAAGACAACTATTTGACAATTCGACTGAGAGACTAGCAATTCATCTGGGATATCTTTCAAATAATCAGATTTTCGGAGCACCCCTGCTTAGAATGCTACATTTTAGTTCTTTACTCGTGTATCAAGTCCTGATCCGTCTTTGCTATAATTGTAGAAAGCTGAAGTTTAGACAAAGCAACTTCTATTTGCAAGATTCAGTTGAAGCCTCTAATTATACACCACAACAATGTGAATGCAGCACCCAAGCATACACATTATACTCACATTTCTATATCATAGAAACCCATGTACCATGTGCAGTACATAAACCCCAGTTCTTCTTTCACTCTTAAATATAATTTCTCAACAGTACCCTTTTGGCCACAGTGCTCTTTTTATAACCAGAAACTTATTGCAACATCGTCACCACAAGGCAAAACATCTGCAGCATCTTTTTGATAACAACACGGAAACAGTGTGATAAGACGATATTTTAGGTTCTGCTGTATCAATTTAAATGCTTTTTTTCACTTTCCATTGTGAGTCTGACAAAGCTGCAGTTGTGCAATGCCAAATTAGTGGAGTATTCTTTTAGTTAGAGGACTTCAGAGAGAAAGATCAAAAACAGAATGATTAAAACAGAGGCGGACGACTTTTGTCCCTGGTATTGTTCAAACTGTCACAAGACCGGATCCTACATTTTCCATAATGCAAATGAAATCTTTCTACATCGTAATTTGCAGTACAGGGTTTCTTTTATATATTTGTTGTCTCCCAGCCCAAGCTGAAATGACTTGACCTGACAAAGCTCCCCCAGAGCCACAACACATGATATAATTGTTTCTGTAGGGATGGGCCTTCTGAGTCATTTCCATATTTGCATTAAATCTACTAGTTTTTAACGGGTAATGAAACAGTCTCAGTTTAATACTGATACTTCTATATGGCCCAAACAGACAGGACCATCACTATATAGTTATTCTTAAAGCTGCGGTAGGAAACTTTTAGAAAAAATTACTTTTTGATATATTTGCTGAAACTTTCCCTATATCCTGACCCATTTACTGTCATCACTGTCATTGGGTTTTTATTTTTATACAACACTACATTGGTGTTTATTTTATAACAATGTGGTAATATGTGCCCAATGGAGTTTTTTGTTGAAAACCTCCATAAAAAAGAAAGAAGAAAGAATGGAAATTGAAAAGAAATCATTAACTACAAAGAATCAGACCGATGAGCAGAATTTTGGTTAAGTCATTTTCTTCTCTGTGTTGGATTTCCAAGGAGAGGGACCGGTATGCCTACAAGATCCACCTGCCAGAGACTGTGGAACAGCTGAGAAAGTTCAACTCTAGGAGGAAGCTCAAGGTTTGCACATAATAACTGGCAGCATGCATTATCATATTTCACAACATTTGAGGCTTGTTGCCATGACACATTATTGTGTGTGAGATAAACAGTTAACACGTGGATGCTGCTCCTGCTGCTGCTGTGTTTTCAGGGAGCTGTTCTGGCTGCAGTCTCCAGTCACAAGTTCAATTCCTTCTATGGTGACCCCCCTGAGGAACTTCATGACTTCTCCGATGACCCTACCTCCTCAGGTACACAAAGACACATGCTCATAGATTGACTTTAGTCACCCTTTCATCACTGACACACTTCCTTCCTCAAATGTCCTTTTCCTGGTTCTGCTTTCTGTGTATAGGGCACATACATAGCACATTTAAAAAAAACAAAAAAGGAAATAAAGCCTTGTGTTCTTCTCTTATTATTCAGGTTAATATGTATGTATATAATATATATGACAGAAACTAAAGAATAGCATAAAAGGTCCCCTTTAATATCTGTACTATTATTATTATTAATTCTATCGTCTAGTGATTCAATTGCTGTTTTGAACACCTGTGTTCATTTCAAACTGTCAATGTGTTTATTTGTTTGTCTGTTTCTATTAATGCTTCCCAACTGCTAGGACTGTTAGCAGCAGAACGTAGGTATCCGTTGGTTCTTTGTGTGTTGTGATGATAGTTATAGTTAATAATTCAGACAGCAGAAAATGTTTCAGTCTTTGAGTGCATGTGCATGTTATCGACATACATAAAGATGGACAGCATGACAGCTCCCCAATAGTGAATCCATAACATCTTGATCGCCCTCTGGTGGTTGATTGGTCAAGGCAGATGATCACCCACGAGCCGAAGGGTCGGTGTCCTAGGTTTTGCTGCCTGTTAAGAAAGGCAGTTTTTCCTTGCCCCGGTCGCCAAGTGCATTGCTCATGGTTGGTACTGTTGGGTCTCTGTAAATGTTAAAAGGGAGTTCGGCGTCTAGAGCACTGCTCTATTTAGATAATAAAGTGTTGAATTGAATTGAATTGATTGCAGAATTGGTCATAAACCCCAACCACCTCTAAGTATATGTAAAATATATATTTCCCAGAGATGGTTTCTGCTATTTTAGTTATCCTGGTTATTTTAGCACTGATGTATGTTCAAGCGTTCATTTTAATTAGTTATTTGAAGCTATAAAAAGGGGGCTTCACATCGTGACACACAGCTGAGCCCTACACGCGAGTGAGTGGGTGTATCGGCGGGACCTCGATACCGCGATAACCCTGATCACTACTGCACACACTCTGACTCCAATATTAACATCAACAGCTTAAGGTATTTTGGCTTCATTGGGAGGGGTGGAGAGGCGTCTTTCATCTTTATATGTCGATGGTACATATATACTCACCACAAAAGCCTTCAAACCTTGAATTGACTGATGGACCATTGTTGTGGTGTGTGTGTGTGTCTGTCTATGTGCGTGTGTGTGTTGCAGGGGCTGTGTCTCAGGTGTTGGACAGTTTAGAGGAGATCCACGCTTTGACAGACTGCAGTGAAAAGGATCTAGATTTCCTCCACAGTGTTTTCCAGGACCAGCATCTACACACACTGCTCGACGTAGGTGCCATACACAAACACTAACACATGTTAGCACACTGGAATATAACTACCTTTATGAGTCATTCATCTTGACTGATTAATAACTAGTGAATGATTTAATTACACACTTTATAAACGCTTCCAAAACCTTTATCACGTTTAATAACAGGAAGTGGTGTGTTTTATGTTTCCAGTAATAGCAACTGCAGCTAGCATCTTT